GTTAAGAATACAATGTTTTAAAAATAATAAAATTTGTTTTCTAATTAGGTAGAGATCTTTTCCTAGCAAGCTGTTCACAAGATTGCCTGATACGAATATGGAGGCTGAATATAAAATCAACATCTTTGGAAACTCAGGAAGATGATAATATAAGACTGAAAGAAAATACTTTTACTATAGAAAATGAAAGTGAGTAATAATGAAAATATTTGATGTAACAACACTTAGATTTCCCGGCTTATTTATCGGTTTCACCACACGTGTATGTTTGTGAAGCTTAGGTTTTTCAAAAGTGTTGAATCCCTGATACTATGTGTTTTTCCTTTTTCATTTTTATGTGAGAATGAGCCATTTTTCATGTATGAAACTTATTTTTCTTCTAAAAATAAGTGAGTTTTTTTAAATTGCTGAAAATAATGTTTAATGTTTTTTCAGTAAATCAGTTTGTAAAATATTACTAAATTTGCAGTTTTAGCATAGGACTACTTAAAGGAATAATGTGAATTGTTCATACCTTTGTTGGAGGACATTCTTAAGAGACAGCTTAATCCTTGTGTTTGAGTAGTAGTGTATGTCATTCAGTACCCCTCCATGGTACATCCTGTTGGAATGTTGCATTTGAAGGAGAAATTTTCAGATGTGTATCTAAATGACCAAGTTAGTCCTCAGTAAACATTGTTCATTGAGGAATATTCTTCTCTGTTATTACTCTTCTTGATTATAAAGCCCCATTAGAGCTCAGATTTGGTGACAGATTTTTGGGGAGGACCAGGAAATACTATAACCAGCATATTGTGAGTAGCTGTTTCCAAGTATGAAGTTTTTTGTGATAGTTTCATTAATTATTTTGTTTGAAAGGTCACAGTATTGATTTGACTTCCTTTAACTCTGCATTTATCTTAGGGGTTATTTTTATTTAATATTTTTGACTGTTACATTTAATGAGTAAGAATAGAAAGCAGACTGGCATGTCTGTATTTTTTAATTGCAGTGTAAGAGTAGCTGTCCCTGAAAATTTAAAAGTAGAACAAATTCCTTAGTTTTTATTTATGGCTCGGTAGGGAAAATGTCAAGAAAAACTTATGTATCTTTAGGACTGTTTTTCACCTGTGGTTTTGAACAATGTATAAAGTTAATGAAATTTAGAATGCTTGTGTTTTGTTGAATCTAAATCATGGTCTATTCTGATTCTGTTTTTTCGGATGTAATTGTACAACTGAGAGGGTTATGAAAATGTTCTTTTTAGAAGAGCTTTGGGGAGAGAATGCTTCATTGTTCTTGTTACAGGTATTAAAATAACATTTGCGGTTACTCTGGAGACCGTGCTGGCTGGTCACGAAAACTGGGTAAATGCAGTTCATTGGCAGCCTTCATTTTACAAAGGTAAGAAGAAAAACATACTCATCGCCCACATTTCAGTTAAATCTCCCTTAACAAAATGTTAAAAAGCTGACCAGATGAAGTAGAAGGATACTTTTTGAGTGTAATTAGAAATCTCAAATATTAGACATTTTCAAGTTGGTAAAGTATAATACTGCAGCCCTGTTCCGTTAGACATTCAGGGCCATTGAAAGTTGTGTTTCTAAGAGGGAACAGTATGACTCCTGCCATGATGCCAAAAGTGCCATACCCCTTTTCATCTTTTTTTCTTTAAAATTCTTACCTAGTCCTTACGGAATTTAAGAGAAATTGACTTTCAAGCCAGCTTCACTGGAATGCTCACCCTTGGAACTACAGAGGTGGTAATACTGAGATACATCTTTTATGGCAAAGTAGAGGCCTTTCTCCCTCTCTTTCCTTTGCCCGTAACCTCCGTTTGTGGAGTGACGATGGTGTGCGTGTCCAAGCTGGTGCTGGGGTGTAGGGCTGAGCACGGCAGCAGCTTCATATTCTGCCCTCGTCCTGTCCTTTCCCTGAGACAGGAATAGAGAATAGCAGTAAAAAGTAAGCACCATCCAGCTTTTGTCATATTATGCCATATTTGCTGCAGTTTAAAAAAAGGTAAATTAGATATTACAGATATTGAGGATCCCTGTGTGTTTTTTCCTGAACCCTTTCCCCTCCATCCTTCCCTTGAGGCTGAATTGAGTTCATATCATTCCCATGCATATTTTTATACTTCTGCTGCAAATTTGTGTAGCCATAAACAATATTGTCTAACAGCTCTTAAAACTTTATCAGTATGCATTTTTTCTTACAACTTGCCTTTTTAGCTTAACATGCTTTGGATTCATGTAACTCTAATTTATTTATTTTTATTACAGTATATATTCCATTGTCTAAATATTACAATTGGTTTATCTGGTCTAACAGTAGATTTTTGTGTTTCCAGCGTTTTGCTGGTGCAGCGTAGCAGTGAACGTTCTTGCAGTATCCATGTTGTGTTTTTCTGGTCATCTGCAAACAAGATATTTGTCAGTCACCTAAAGATGTTAGGTTATTTTTTCTTTAGATGGTGTTTTACAACAGCCAATGAGATTATTGTCTGCCTCAATGGATAAAACCATGATTCTCTGGGCTCCAGATGAAGAGTCAGGAGTTTGGCTAGAACAGGTAAAAATGTGAATATATAAGGAACAGAAATTTGAGTTTATGAAACAGTAAATCCCAAGTCTGTGTTCCGAGAGCTGCAAATACGTGCTCTTTGTATATATTAAAAAAGTGAGACCATAATCTCTGTAATCAGTGGTTTCTATCGTGAGACATGTGGACTCTTGGTTATGAATTGTTTTCTGTCTGTGGTTGAATAGGTTCGAGTAGGAGAAGTCGGCGGCAATACTCTGGGATTTTACGATTGCCAGTTCAGTGAGGATGGCTCCATGATCATCGCTCATGCTTTCCACGGAGCACTGCACCTTTGGAAACAGAATTCCACTAACCCAGTAAGAAAAGTGTTTTTAAGTAAAGCATTTCTAGTCAAATAGGGTGAATCCTAAAGAAAACCTAGGTAAAAGTGTTGTATTACTTATAACCCTCTGCGGGAACATCATAGAGGCATTTAAGTTCAGATGACTTCACTTCTTTCTGTAGATGTTATTTTGTGATGCTAAGTAAGAAACTCACGCTTTTCTAAGAATAAAAGTATTTATTTTTCAGCATTGTTGAGATACTGAAATTTGCACATAGGTAAATTTTCTTTATTTTCTTTCTTTCTTTTTTTTTTAAATTTTCTACATAAGTGAAGTTTAAGCTGTATAAATTTTAAGCTCTCCCATAAAGCTATATGCATTTTTTGATGCAAGTTTTCCCTAAAATGTAAAACCTCTTTGTTCTCTTAAAGAAAATCACGAAATTTGATATTTTCCTGCTGAACAACTAGGTACTCCATTGATAATTATTGAATAAATGACCAACACAAGGGCATTAGAAGTACCTGTTATTTTGTGATTGACTATATTGATGCTCTCAGGGGCTCTTGATATGTGTAATTCTAAATGGTCCTCCCAATATTGGGCTCTTCTAGATCTTTCTTACAGGTTCTATTCTCAAAGAGAGGTAATCTTCTAATCATGCAGCTGCCTCTCAGCACTACTCCGTATCTTACTCTCTAATTTGCTTCCCATCTGCTGCTTTGGGTTTAGGGAGGTGAGGTAGCAGGAATTGTGGCTGTGGGCACCGGCCTGGGAGCTGGACGACCTGGGCCTGAATCTTGTACTTCCTAGCTGTCTTTGAGGACATTACCTAACCTTTGTCTCAGGTTCCTTATCTGTAAAATGTAGACAGTAATAAATAGCTCCTACGCATAGGGTTTTCATGATGCTAAAATGAATTAATATTTGTATAGTATGAAAAACAAAGCCTGGCACATCCTGGATGCTATATATTTTAAATAAATAAATGAAAGAAGTAAGAACA